ATCTGCCAGTGGAATAAGACTTTTTGTACTTAAAATATGAAAATACATCGTGTTACACTTAAAATAAGAAAAACTACAACTTTTTGGACTTAAAATAAGAAACCAAATCTAATGTTGCTTGAAATAAGAACAATATACTCATTCCATTGGTAGATCATTTTATTTGTCATGTTGAATTTATTCAAATAAAGGAAAATGTTCTTAATTTAAGTCAATTTAACTTGCCTAGATATTGTTTTTTTTTTTCCCCCAGTGTATTGCGGCGTAAAATGGACAAAATGTGAAATTGTGATAGTTTTATTTTATGTATCTGTCTGCATATTTAGATCACCGTGTTACCTTTAATTAGCCTGATTCATCATCCAGTTTCACTTTGTGGAAACCGTCTGACCTTGCAGCATTAGGATTCAGTCTCTGCTATTTGGTTGTGACGTATGGAATGCGCCACTAACGGATCTAACTGGTATATTACACTTTTCCCACATCTCATTGGAAGAAGGACAATAACGTCTTTCACCTTGATAAAATTCACCAAACATTCTCTTTGTTCCGGCTTTAAATCCTTGATCTCGGGAATCTTCGCTGATTGGCTGGTGCCCGAACTCGTACTTCCAGGGTTCATGTAAACCGTCTAGTGTATTCTGATTCCTGACCTAGTCGCTGGAGAGAAATTAAATTGAGAGGAGGAACTAGGTGGCGCCAACCTGGGTAACCATTAATTGTTTTGAAAACGCTATGTATTCTTTGACGTATTCTTGGCATCGTCATTTGTAAACAGGGTCAGGCGTTCAGAAGGGATTTCACTTCAACCTAAACCCCTTTGGTCGTAGTTTCGTGTGAAATGTTTGTAATAGTCTACAAAGTACATGATTAAGTACATGCCTGGAGAGTCTCCCCTCCCTTTGCGCTCCATGCTTATTTAGTAATAGTAGCAGTTTGTTCGACTACAACCCCATGGATCATGACTGAAAGGGTTTAGGCTGAAGTAAAAAGTACTTAACTAACTTCTAATACTGCCTAACTCTGATAAACAATGACATAATTCCAAGAAAGAAAAGCAGCGTATGAACAGCAAGTTTAAGTTTCCAATTTCACTTACAACTTAATGTATATATAAGACAAAATATGCACAAAAACTAACTAAATTTAATGCGGAATTCATTCATTCCAGAGCTCTTCATCTTTCAAAACTCTTTATACTCTTTTTTTTTTTTAAAGGCTTCTACAGTGTTACATAAATAGTCACTTTTTTTCATAGTTCTTATCATCAGTTCTCTAAAGATTTTTTCGATTTATGGTCGTACAAACTAATAATAATGTTAATGATGGTGCAAAAGGTGGTGTTTATGATATTATTATAATTATTCACTCCCTCTTCAGAGCGCTATCACATTATAATCTGCCTAATAGTCCTCTAATGAAACTGCAGCACATAGCATCAGGTTTGTGAAGTCGTAGTGCACAGTTTTGTATCATGTTTTTGTGTATTTATGGAGAACTGTTGTGTGTTTGTACAAATCTTACAGCTAAGTGCAAGGAGGGTTTGAATAGGGCCTGGGAGAGATCACTCAATTACTCAAACATGCATGAATGACATCTAAAACCTCCTCAAGCATGTTTTTTTTTTGCATAATACTCCCTCTTTAAGGTTAAGTCATAGTCTCGCCCCTCCTCTTCCTCCTCTGCCTCAAATGAAGACATCACATCTTTAAACACATGTGAGTGGGCTTCACAGGGCTCTCACGGCGCTGACCCCTGACCCCCTCTCCCCCCTTCACCCCCCTCGCCTGGACCTCCGCTCGGCCTTGTCCTCCGGCCCGCTGGGTGACCCCCTCCTTTGTGCGGGCGGGGGCGCATGTCTGGACCCCTCCCCGCCGCGGGCCGAGGGACCGGGGGACAAAGGGGGCGCGTCTGGAGGGAGGAGCCAGGACAATGGAGATAATGGTGTGGGTGGGGTCAATGTAAACAAGACACGCCCACTTGTTTCGCACAGTTTACAAAAAATGTTGATGGGAAATTGTCAGTTCATATTGTTGACATCTCGACGACGAAGTTTTATTACAAACTTTTGGCCTTTAGATCAGTAGAGATTGGCAGTTCCAGATCTGAAATTATCCAAATGATTCTACTGAAGGTGTACGGAGTTTAAAAACACTGTGGAGCACTTCCTGTTACATTGTGTTTTCTGTTTAATAGAGAAACTAAGAAGCCTAAATGTGCAGGGTCTGTGAGTTAAACATGAAACGAAACACAACTCCAGGCCTGTTTGTGACCAGGAAACAACAGCACACCATAATATACATCAGAAAATAGCATAATATGGACTTTTTGAACATATCTGTCTCCATGGAAACAAGCAGGTGGCACCTCCAGGCCGAGTTACAGGTCAGATCTGTGGAGAGGCTGGCCTGCTCACAGTCACACCTCGCTCAGACTGCACTGCCATAACTGCTCATTTAATAAAGGAAAAAGGTCCAGGACTGAGCTAAAACTAAATCAGGTCTAAATGAGGACTAAACCAGGATTAAAACAGGTTTAAAGTGGGACTAAAACAGGTCTAAACCAGAACTAAAACAAGACTAAGTCAAGTCTAACCCAGGACTAAACCAGGACTAAACCAGGCCTAAAGCAGGTGGTCTAAATCAGGACTAAAACAGGTCTAAATCAGGACTAAAACAGATTTAAACCAGGTCTAAAGCAGGTGGACTAAACCAGGACTAAACCAGGTCTAAACAGGGATTAAAACAGGTCTAAACAATGCCTAAACCAAGTCTAAACCAGGACTAAAAGAAGACTATTCCAGGTCTAAACCAAGACTAAACCAGGTTTTCTAAATCAGGATTAAACCAGGTCTAAACCGGGACTAAAACAGATCTAAGCCAGGTCTAAACCAGGTCCAAACCAGGACAAAAGTCTATAATTCTCCTTCTGATCACGGTGAACATAATGGGCTATAATTCAATCCCATAACAGCCTCTTTCTGTTAACAGTAGTTCAGTTGGCCGAGCATTTCTCCACTGATCTGAAGGTTACCGGTTCGAATCCCCCTTTCAAAGAGTATGAACATAAACCATATTAATGAACACAATTAAAATGATTCTGTGCTCCTGCCTCTGCTCCTGTCTGTGCTCCTGTCAGTGCTGCTCCTGTCTGTGTTTCGTGTAAAAGTCTATGGGAGCGTGCACTCATCGCTCTCCTCCGGCACAAACACGAGGATTACCGCTCGCTTTAATCATCTTTACTGCACTGGCCCCGCCCCCTCGCTGTGATGTCACCGCTCACACACACACACAGGTGGATTATGGGAAGGCGGGCGAGCGACACAGAGCTGACCCCATTTGTCTGCTCTGAGAGAGAGAGAGAGAGAGAGAGAGAGAGGGGGTGGAGGAGAGAAGGAGAGAGATCTAGAGGAGAAAGAGTACAGAGGAAAGATTCAACTGAAATGTGACTCTCTGTAACTTTTCAGGATGAGGCCTGCCATGTCCCGCAATATGGCATTAGATACAGATACTCTATGATGACAAGCAGGTAACGCCAGGTCTGTGGAGAGGCGAATCCGCTCTCATTCAGGGTGTTTGCGTGCACATTATAAAGACGTAGAATGGAATACATGCAGGATCATTTAGTGCCATACTGTGGAATATTTCAGGCAAACCATCTCCATAGAAACAAGCAGGTGATAGGCAGAACGTCCATCAGAAAAGTTGCAAGTTTAAATATGAGAATTAGAGAAGGATGGAGCTCCCATAGCACGAATGAAATGATAAACATATTCAAATATCACACATGATTTTCCTCTCTCTTGTGCAGCGTTACAAAGGGACAATAGGCGTACTCTCCCTCTGATCAGGCAGTATAATGGCTGGAAAACAAGCCCATAATAGTCTCTTTCTTCCCATATTGTTGCACACGGTCTAACCCAAGTCTAAAGAACTAAACCGGGTTGAAACCAGGTCTAAAACAGGTTTAAATCATGACTAAACCAGGACTAAACCAGGTCTGACGCAGGGCTAAACTAGGACTGAACCAAGACTAAACCAGATCTTAACCAGCTCTAAACCAGACCTAAACCAGGCCTAAACCAAGACTTAACCAGGTATAACCCAAGTGTATACCAGGTACTAAACAATGGCTAAACCAGGTCTAAACCAGGTCTAAACTGAGATTTAACCAGGTATATTCCAAGTGTAAACCAGGTCTAAACCAGGACTAAACCAAGACTAAACCAGGTACTAAACCAGGTCTAAACCAGGTCTAAACCAGGACTAAACCAGGCCTAAACCAGGCCTAAACCAGGTCTAAACCGAGATTTTACCAGGTATATTCCAAGTGTAAACCAGGTCTAAACCAGGTCTAAACCAGGACTAAACCAAGACTAAACCAGGTACTAAACCAGGTCTAAACCAGGTCTAAACCAGACTTAACCAGGTCTAAACCAGGACTAAACCAAGACTTAACCAGGTATAATCCAAGTGTAAACCAGGTACTAAACCAGGTCTAAACCAGGTCTAAACCAGAACTGAACTGGGAATAAACCAGGCACTAAACAATGTCTAAACCAGGCCTAAACCAGGTCTAAACCGAGACTTAACCATGTATAACTCAACTGTATACCAGGTCTAAACCAGGACTAAACCAGGACTAAACCAGGTACTAAACCAGGTCTAAACCAGACTTAACCAGGTCTAAACCAGGTCTAAACCAGGTCTAAACCAGGTCTAAACCAGGTCTAAACCAGGACTAAACCGGGTCTAAACCAGGACAATAGGCTGTACTCCTTCTGATCTAGCCTATCTAATACAATCCCATAACAGTCTCTTTCTGTCCGTATTGTTCAGGTCCACAGGTCCACTCACAATGGAGCAAGTGAATGAGCCGTGCACCTGCGCCGTGTCGTCTCCTACCTGTTGTACTCTCTGTCAACGCGAGGGCGGGGCTGTGAGTGCGCGTGCGTGCGTGCGCGCGTGTGTGCGTGTGTGTGTGTCAGTCTCCACAGAGCCTCGCGCCGGTCACAACACTCACATGAGAGAGAGGAAGAGGGAGGCAGCGGGCAGCGAGCGAAGAATACGCACGATTTACGCGCAATTCTTCGCTTTTACGCATCGCTTTGCACGTTGGAGCGGATCATTCGTGTTCTGTAGCGGGACACGGGGCAGCGACGCACGGGGGCACGGAGCCAGGATACAACGCGCGTTTATTCTAACCGGAGGAGAGTACAGCGTATCGAGGCACGGCTGCGCTCCACGGGCACTTTGGAACACTTTATTATCGCGCGCAGGCTTGGAACAGCAATACCCGGAAAGCTACCTCCAAACCCGGGTTATATTTACGCTCTCCCCCGCTAGCAGTCGGACTATTCCTCCTGTGGATAATACGAGCCCAGCGGATGTAAGTGCTGACTTGTGCCCGCTTTGTGCACACTAACCACGGGTAAGGCAATAAGGACAACCGGAGAGCGGAGCGAGAACTAATCAGGTGTTGCGTTCAGGGACTGCAATAAAAACAATAATAATAATTACAAAGAGGTTTTGTTTTGGATCTGAGGCATTCACGGGTCAGCCAGGATGCGCGGCGCTTGCTGAACTCTCCCCCCCTCCCCGGAGAAGAGGCGAGGATGACGGGACCGGTGGCCGCGTTGGTGTCGCTGCTCCTGGTTGTGTGTGGAGGAGGAGGCGGCGGTGGCGGTGGAGTAACCCGAGCGGCCAGCGTGGGGAGCGCGCACGGAGGTGAGTGACGGCCCGGTCTGGTTGTGTTGGTTATTCCGGTGCTTGTTTTGGAGAAATGCGCACATGTTTGAGAGGTTTGGGTACGGGGGGTTGCAAGAACTAAACCAGCACTAAACCAGCACTAAAGCAGGACTAAAGCAGGACTAAACCAGGACTAAAGCAGGACTAAACCAGGACTAAAGCAGGACTAAACCAGGACTAAACCAGGACAAAACAAAACAGTTGTTATAATAGTGATTCAAGGTTTAAACCAGGACTAAACAAAACCTGGTCTGAATCAGGTCTAAACCAGGACTAAAGCAGGTCTACTAAACCAGGACTAAACCAGGACTAAACCAGGACATAACAAACCAGTCGTTATAATAGTGGTTCAAGGTTTAAACCTGAACTAAACAAAACCTGGTTTGAATCAGGTCTAACCCAGGTCTAAAGTAGGTCCAAATCTGGTCAAAATTTTGATTCTAAAGGGTCTAAATGACAACAAATACCAAATCAAAAGTGAACTACAAATAACCTGGTCTAAATAATTACTAAACCAGATCCTAACCAGGTCTAAATTAGGAAACCAGTCCCAAACCAGGACCATCAATCAGCTAAAGCTGGGTCCAAACCAGGACTAAACCAGAGGACTAAAGCTGGTTTGAAACACGACAGAACCTAAAAGGGCTGAGGTTCCTTTTGGCAGAACTCAACCTCATCACCACATGTAAACAAACAAAACCAGTTCTAAACCAGTTCTGAATTAAGTGTAATTGTAAACCATGCCTAAACCAGGTCTAGCCCAGAACTAAAGCAAGTCTAAACCAGGACTAAATCATGTATGAACTCGGACTAGACAAGGACTTAATCGGGGCTCAAAGAGGACTACACAGACTAAACCAGGACTGTGATGCGCTCGGTCACAAAACTGCGTTCACACTTGCAGAGACCACATGAAAACAGAAACAAAAGGGACTAAACCTAAAACTAAACCAGGGACTAAACCTAAAACTAAACCAGGGACTAAACCTAAAACTAAACCAGGGACTAAACCCAAACTAATCCAGGGACTAAACTCAAAACTAAACCAGGGACTAGACCAGGACCAGTCTAAGTCCAAGAGGTGCACTTGATGGGAGTACTTTGTTTACTGTGAGGCTGTGTTGACTCGAGAATTGTGAGTTGGTTTAATTTTCAGATGGAGAGCAGGTCATTATGTGGGTCAAACTCTCCACTGCATTAAACTCCACTAGACTAGACCAAAGTGCACAATATTTGTGAACAAAGCTCATAATGATTTTTACTATTTCTGATTCAATTTGAGATACGGGTTTGAAAATGAGAGTTCTGTAATTCTGAATTAGTTGAGTTGAGTTGATTGCAGAGAAAGTTCTACTCTAGTCCAAATCTGTACACATTTGTTATTTGAACTCAAATAGTTCTTTTGGTTTGATTGTGATTGTGCCGTTCTCCTGTCTGTGTGCACCGCTCCTGATGTCTGTAATATTATTTATATTTCATGTTTTATTTGTGCACTTTTCTGTCAGTAAGACTTAACTGATATAACGATCTGTATAATCACTAAACCAGGACTAAACCAGGACTAAACCAGGACTAAACCAGGACTGAACCAGGACTAAACCAAGACTGAACCAGGACTAAACCAGGACTAAACCAGGACTGAACCAGGACTAAACCAAGACTGAACCAGGACTAAACCAGGACTGAACCAGGACTGAACCAGGACTAAACCAAGACTGAACAAGGACTAAACCAGGACTAAACCAAGAACTGAACCAGGACTAAACCAGGACTGAACCAGGACTAAACCAAGACTGAACAAGGACTAAACCAGGACTAAACCAAGACTAAACCAAGACTAAACCAGGACTAAACCAAGACTGAACAGGACTAACCAGACTGAACCAGGACTAAACCAGGACTGAACCAGGACTAAACCAGACTGAACCAGGACTAAACCAGACTGACCAGGACTAAACTAAACAGGACTAAACCAAGACTGAACCAGGACTAAACCAGGACTGAACCAGGACTAAACCAAGACTGAACAAGGACTAAACCAGGACTAAACCAAGACTAAACCAAGACTGAACCAGGACTGAACCAGGACTAAACCAGGACTGAACCAGGACTAAACCAGGACTGAACCAGGACTAAACCAGGACTAAACCAAGGACTGAACCAGGACTAAACCAGGACTGAACCAGGACTGAACCAGGACTAAACCAGGACTGAACCAGGACTGAACCAGGACTAAACCAAGACTGAACAAGGACTAAACCAGGACTGAACCAGGACTGAACCAGGACTGACCCAGATCTAAACCAGGACTAAACCAGGACTGAACCAGATCTAAACCAGGACTAAACCAGGGCTGAACCAGATCTAAACCAGGACTAAACCAGGGCTGAACCAGGACTGAACCAGATCTAAACCAGGACTAAACCAGGACTGAACCAGGACTGAACCAGATCTAAACCAGGACTAAACCAGGACTGAACCAGGACTGAACCATTCTCAAACTCAGACTGAAGCAATCAGTCAAAACTAGGTCAATATCTGGACTAAGCCAGGTATAAAGGAGATCTGAACCAGGACTAAATCAGGACTAACCCAAGTCTAAAACCAGATCTAAACCAGGTCTAAACTAGGACCAAACCGGAACTAAACCAAGATTATCACAATTTGCATACCCCAAATATCTAAACATACTTTCCATACTTTCTTTACTGTTGGTCATATGTGGTACTATTTTGTCAGCAGTATTTGGACATGTATCAGTAAACACACACACACACACACACACACACACACACACACACACACATACACACACGCACACACACAGTAGTGTGACTGTTCTACTGTACACCTTTGTGTACAGTAGAACAGTCATTAGACTTCTCTCACTCTGAGCACTGTGTCATCATCGTCATCGTCACCGTCATTATCGCCACGCTCAGATCTAAACAAACAGTGGTGCGTTCAGGAGCAGGAGGACTGTAGGACTCTCAAATGCTCCCAAGTGTGTGTGTGTGTGTGTGTGTGTGTGTGTGTGTGCGTGTGTGTGTAAGAGAGAGAGAGAGAGAGAGAGAGAGAGAGAGAGAGAGAGAGGGCTTTTTAATTTTTATAAAAATTCAGTTCTAAATATATTTTAACCTAAATTTGTCTAGCCCTCCTACTTTCTGTCTATCCTCTATTTTTCCTCTCTTTTCTTTCTCCCTCTCTTCTCTCTTACTCTTCCTTATCTCATCTCTTCCACTCTCCCTCTTCTCTCTCTTGTCTCTCTCTCCTTCACTCCATCTCCATCAAAATCTCTCTCCTGTTTCTATCTCTCTCCATCTCATCCTCTCCGCTCTCTCCTCCCTCCCTCACCTCTTTCACTCTCTCTCCTCCCTCTTCTACCTCTCCTCTCTCTCTCTCTATCCCTCTCTCCTCCCTCTCCTCTCTCAGGTGCCAGACGTGTTGTGTCTCCGTCTGGGCACAAACCCAGTCATTATACTCTACAGCGGCTCCTCTGTTTAAAGACGCACTCACTCACTCGCACACACACACACACACACACACACCGACTACGCACACTGACCCGCTGCGCACTCTGCCGTCGTGTCACCGAGCAAGACACTTCAGCCCTCACGCATCCGACCGTTATCTCCTCTCGCTGCACCTGAACTCCACGGACATTTATCAAGCGAAAACCATTTAGAAGCATTTGACATGGACGCTGTAACTGTAACTGTAACTGTCCAAGAACCATGTAGAAACAACTGTAATTGTCCACCTAGGAGCAAAGCTGGATGAAAACCTTGGAGAAACAGCTACCATAGACGTGATCATTGTCTAATCAGGAAGAAAAGTAGGACGTGGACCGTGTAGGAACATCTACTAAGGATGGCGTCATCTTCCAATCAGGTGGACAGTTGGATGTGAACCTTAGGCTACGTTCAGACTGCAGGGCTTAACGCTCCATTCCGATTTTTTTGTGAAATCCGATGTTTTTGCGAGGTCGTTCACATTTCCAATTAAATGCGAATTGTACGCGATCCCGTGTGAATGTTAAATGGCCCGAAAGTGTCTGCATGTGCACTGGAGACACGATGAGGTCAACCTCAGCGAGCGTGCTCTGTGTTTACAGAAGTTGTCCAAACATGGACGCAGCATCAAGCACCTGGAGATTTTAAATTTCCTCTCATACCAGAGTCAGAACATGAACAACTTACTTGTTTTAAGGAGGAGACTGAGAAGGAGAAGGACGAGGTTTTTGGCCGTGGTGTTTTGTGGGGCAGCGGCAGCGACGTTCGTTGAAAGGAACGTGTGGATGTGGAGACGTAGCCAAGAGTGGTGAGTGGAGATGTGCTTCACTTCAGTGACACAGAGTTCATTAACAATTTTTGCCTACTTCAGCGCAGAATAGTGACGTTTGTGTCTTGTTGATAACGTGTAGGTGGATGAATGCACTTTGGCCGTTCAGACTGAAGTCGCATGTCAAAAGATCAGATATGTCTCGGTTTCAGGAGCACATATCCAAGTGGCCTGGGTCACATTTGAAAAAATTTGATCTGTCATTAAAAGATCAGATACAGGTCACACAGAAGCCATAAAATCGGATATGGGTCACTTCAGGCTGCAGTCTGAACGCAGCCATAGAGAAACACCTGCCCTGGACACTGTCATTTTAATCAGGTGCACAGGTGGATGAGAATCTTAAAGAGACAGCTGGTCTGTACACAATCACTGTCCAATCAAAAGACGGACAATGAAAAGAAACTACTGTCCTACACATTGTCATTGTCCAATCAAGAGAGGAGAACTTTGTAGAAACAACTGTCCTACACATTGTCATTGTCCAATCAAGAGAGGAGAACTTTGTAGAAACTACTGTCCTACACATTATCATTGTCCAATCAAGAGAGGAGAACTTTGTAGAAACTACTGTCATGGGCATTATCATTGTCCAATCAGGAGGTAAAACAACTGCCAGGGACACTATCATTGTCCAG